TACAAAACTGTCAATCTTTCAAGATCTATCATGGAAGATACAATACTATAATATATAAATATTGATCATAGTTATTAGAAGTGAACAGAAACAAATTTCTTAGTTAAACAAAATAGTATACAACTTGCAGGATTTGAATAGCAATTGTACTGCATTCTAATTGTGGGAACACTGAAATAATGTTTTGAGGGCATTCATGTTAAAATTCAAATATCACTGGAATAAATTGGCAATTGGATACTGTAGACGACTTTATTTTCACTTGTAATTTATAAACACTGAAGGAATAAATCCAGGTATAATTTTATGTGAAAATATTTGAGAATGCCTAGATTATTTAATTTATGAACAGCCGAACCGGGCTTGGTCTGTTTTGTTAATTTTCTGCATTTTTTAAATCTTTCAAAACATCTGCTCTGACCAGATTTATTTTTTTCAAAATAGTACGTAATTTACTAGCACCATAGGGTTAATATGGTAGCTATACACACAATCCTTCTACCAGGTAGGTGTTCTACACTAGCAGGCCATTGTGCATCGGTCAGAATTCGATCATTTAATGATCATGATAGTATGCACAACAATTAGAAAAAAATATTGCCCATCCTCAAATAAAATGGCGTCGGGGACAGAAACTGCCCAAAATGACAGATGCACAGTCTGTGTGAAAAACGTGATTAAACTCATTTATTGTCGGAGTCATATTATTTGCACTGTTTTCATGTTCGTGGTCTGTCACAGTAAATGCCATTACATCACTACTAAGCTTCAAACACAGGCAATGTCGAACTGTATATCTTCTATAGTTAATAACGACGCATTCAGAACATTATGACAGAGAGGAAACCCGCAGATTAAAGTATAAAGCGTACTTACAATAACCATAGACTTCTGATCGATCAGCGTTCCACGCAATGGCCACCATTTTTTTGTTATGGAACCCCTAAGTTATACATAATTCGATATGACCCGCTAAGTTAGTGCCTGATTGCGTACGTGCGATGAAGTTTCCCACTGGCAACCTGAAAAACCAAGCAGCCCACCACTCACACAAATACATAGGCGCACGTCTGCAAGGTCAAGAAGCTGAAAAAAAGAAAATCGTGAATAAACTCACCGTTCGGGTAACCGGCAAGACATTTTCAGTTTCCGCAAACAGGGCCTGGTTTTGATACTTTTATGCCCGGGGCTTTATCCTCAGTGGTTTTTCAACACACTCACATTTTTCAATGATCCAAATGTTAACATGAGATCATATACAATGTTTACGAGTCAACGTCACAGAAGCAAACTCCAGTAGGTTTTTTTTTAAAAAAAAATCAGCTCCTCTAAGCTACTGCACTGGGCCACTGTCAATTTCTTGAGTGGTCTAGCCTGAGTGTGGTAGCGATATGATATGTATGTAAATAGTACGGGGGATTTCCCTTATGACATAGCCGACATAACATACAAGGTTTCACTTTCACTTATTATCTGGTACAATGGGTACCGGTAATTCCCGTTATTATGAAATTTTGTGTTGGAATAGAATAGAATAGAATAGAATAGAATAGAATAGAATAGAATAGAATAGAATAGAATAGAATAGAATAGAATCATGATTATACTAACTTGAATAATTGAAACAATAGAACCTTCTATTTAAGTTGAACTTAAAATAGCGAAATGTTAGTGATGTTATTTTCGCCGTAATCGCTCCTTTCATTTCAGAAACAGTCCAACAGTTGAAGGGGTGTGTTTCATTTCATTTATTTATTTTTGTGTTGCAACCCTTTTACATCGGGGGCCCACTAATAAGTAATGAGGGGCTGCAATAAAATTACTGGAAAAGAACAAACATATACTATATAAATGGAAAAAGAAACAGGCAATTTAAAACTTAAAGGAAATACCAGAAATGAATCTTTTAAACTTAAAAGTAAATACAGGAAATGAATCTAATCTACATAGTCTTTTCTATAGTCCATGGTTATGGCTTCTGTTTGCGACCCGAGGTCATGCGACAGAAGCACCCAAGCTTGTCGTATCCAGTCCATAAAGAATAAAAGAAACAAAACACTCTTGTTAAACAGTGCAACGCTCTGTTGAGAATCACAGTAACAGAGGGACTGTGTGGGTATATATAGCAACAGCCGGGCAATTTTAACAATCTGTTGGGGAGTTTTTTCAGGTATAACCGACAGAGGGCGCTGTACATCAGCTTAGGATTTATGGCGGGGGAGAGGGGGTGAGAAATTGAAGAGCATGGTACAACAACAGATATCTCGACGGGCTCTGCATTTTTAGAAAGCCGTGAAACTAAGCATATTACAAAATTTAGTAGTTTATTCAAATAACATAGAGAATTTAACACCAGATGTTTATTTTACATAACATAAACACATTGATGTACAGATGTTGATGTTTCGTTATTCAATAAAATATATTATAAAAAACATAAATAATATGAAAACTGTTTTTTGAACTGATGAACAAAGAAGAATGTAAAACCTGCATGTTTCTTAGAGTAACATTGGTGTAAAACAATGTATATATAACAAGACTTACAGGTTCCAGGTCACTTATTTTCAACCTTACCGGTATATTCACAATAAAGATGGTATATATTTTGGTTAGCTCTTCTATGAAACATTTTTGTTTTTTTTTGCCTCTAAAAGTAGTCATACACAAACCAAACAATAATTGCTGACTTCCTATTCATTGTCATCAATAGTTTAGCAGTGTTTCAAGCTTTTGTCTTGTGTGGTTCTTTAAATTACTGTAAAAGTGTTAATTAAAGTGTAAAACCCAGTGAATATGTGAAATTTAGCATAGAACACATTATCTAAATGATAAAACCGTGAATTTAAAACCCACTGAATATGCCTGAAATGCTAAATCAGGGAAATTTAAACCCAGTGAAAATAAATCATAAATTACCGCCTATGTTTATTCATGTTCATGGCGGTTCCTTCGCCAAACATGAGATGCTATGTTTTCGCTGTGATATATAATAAGTACTTGACTTGTTAAAGAATTGCATTGATCGGTTACTTTGCAATCTACAAATATATAATGCTCAGGTAGTGAGTAATTTGCATAAAAGTTATTTCGGACCTATACTATATCTATACTTTTTTCACAGTGAATGCTTTGATCACAGTACCCAAACAACAGAGACTTGTTGAGACTTTGCTTGGGTACATCTTAAACAATTTGCAGAGAATCTATCTGTATTGTTAAAGGGTGGTAGTCGTCGCGCTGAGCATGTGCGACATTTGTGTTGATAAACATTGATTTTTCCACAATCCAATGCGCTCATTACAAATATGAGGTTTGACCTGGGCGCAACTTGCACTAATTACCGCCAGTGACTCCTTCGATACCTTGCAATCCCCTGAAAATATCTAATTAAAGCTTGGCAACCTCTCAGTTTGTACTCGTTGATCTGCGCAAGTCAAAGTCGCCATCTTTGTTTATAATGAGACCCATATATCTAGTGTATGCGTGGTGTAATGACTACTGGTACTGCCCTTTAAGCTATTAGTGTTGGCAACTTTAAATCTGATCTCAAAAACAAAATAATAACAAGCATCCATATCCCATAATGTCCGATGTATGTACAAGGTTTCAATGAAATCCATTGTTTTCATTATTATATGGTTCTTGACACCCCCACCCTTCCACTTCAATATCTTCCTTGACATTGATTTAATGCACCACATGAGTTTGTGGATTTTTTTTCCAGCATTTATCTATATCCCCACCACCTCCACCCAGAATTTCAAAAGGGTTCCCCTTAGAAGGCTGAATCAAACGTGATGAAAAGATTGCAAGATAAAAGATTCACAAATTAAGTCGTCTGGGCTAACAAAAACAGGCATGAATTAGCAGATCAGAAAGAAGATACAAATGTTGATATAAAAAAAA